TTCGAGTGGGTGGTTGGTCGCGGGGGTGGAGGGGAAAGGGGGAGGGGAAATTGAGACGGTGGGTGCAACATCCAGGGCGGTTCTCCGTGGAAGGATAAGTTTCAAGAGTCCTGCGCCTCTCTGGCGCCTGATCCTCTGATAAATGACGAAAGATTCACTGAAAAATAAATTTTTGCAAAAATCCATTTTCAAAACGTAAATTGTCAGGACGAAAATACCCGACACTGAAAAAAGAAAAAATTTCTTCAAGACATTTTAGTCTAGAGATTTCTTTTTTTTTTAATTTGAAATTTTTTGTTCATTATGAATAACTACAAATAACGAATAATGGTAATAGATAATGAATAATGGAAAATTGGAAATTAAATCGTGTGAATCATTTGATAAGTGAGTGAATGATTCCGTTAAAGATTAAATGAATGATGTTATCAGTTGAAAAATCCGTCAGACGTGGGAATGCATTTTTCTGTAAGACCCGAGAGCTCAAAATTTTTAGTGTAGAAACTAGAGAATCCTCGGGGTAAGCCGTTACCTCGATGACGGTTGTCTCTGACCACAGTAACTCTCTACCACTGTGCAGCTCCAGGCCAGGACGACCGCCAAAACGAGCATCAGTTGGACTGAGTCTAGCAGCAAGTCACTTGGCAGCAGCAGCTGGCCATCATCCCCATCCACTCAAGAAACATCGATTGGATAACGGTGATTACTACGAAAATGGCCACTTAGGTGAGTCTAATATCATTTTTACCACCACCTCAAATCCTATAACGAATAAATCCGTCATCTCCCGCGACACAACTGCTCATCCCCCAATTATCTGAATTGAAAATTAATTCCAATTAAAACAGACGCATTACACTAATTCCCTCACAACGAAATTCCCTCGGGTAATTGTATCTGCACTGACGTATCAATAACAAATTCCACAGATTGTTTAGTATTGATTTATTTAAATATTCATAAATCAGCGGTGAATTGATCAATTGAACTCAATTTTTCAATTTTAATTGTTCTAAATTTTTTGAGAAATAGATAAAGAAATTATTCCAATAAATCCATTTGTTATAAATAATTTGCAGGTTCTTGGGGAATATCTCGGTTATATTTTGGGTAATTCATCCAAATTCTTTTGAATTTTAATTCCTGCCAATTTTATATCTGATTTATATCTGATTTTTGGTGGCTGTGAAGTCTGGTACGACCGCGGCGACCGCAGGCCGCAACACGGCACTGCAGTCGCAGTTAATTTGCTCACTCCAAGTGTGTTTGATTCCCCTAATTAATTGATTGGTATAGGGCCACAGTGCGTTACACTGGTTTACCGTAGGCTCCAGTCCACTCTCTTGCACCGATGCTAGTAATCAAGTGTGTACCGAGTATAACGCACATTTACGCATACCGCCATTGCAAACCCAAAACCATATGCAACTGGCCTCTGAGTACGGGACATCGAGTGCACATACCCCTTTGCACACCAATATTATGTACCCAACACTCGATTCACTATCTACTCATCCCTCT